TACCCATAAGTCATTGTAAACTCAGTGGTGGAATGAGCAACTGAGGAGCTCCTGATTGTAAATATCTACCTGGGCTTTTCTGTTGGGTGTGGCATAATGCAATGTTATGGGAGGTTCACTCTCACATGCTTAGAATTCTGTTGTTATGATTGGTTGGTTTGGCCACTCTGCCAAACTCAAAAGGAGGCCTCCTAGAGGCAGAACTCTCTCTGACTGCTGGTTGAGGAAGATGTGCTGCTGAAAGAGACACGCGCTCCGGAAAGAGACACGTGCTGCAGGGAAAGAGATGCAAGAGACACGTGTTGCTGAGTAAGACACCGAGGGACATGCACTGCTGGGGGAGAGACTATGAGAAACTTGGCTGAGGGACGGTGGGCTGGGAGAGAGACTGAGCGTTTTTCCTGAACTTGAGTTGTAGTCTGGTGCTTCCCTAGTAAACTCCATAATCTGTGAGTTCTGTGTGGCCACTGCAGTGAATTATCGAACCCAGGAGAGAGGTGGTAGGTGCTTTGGGAGGAACGGTTGGAGAAAGGGCTGGAGGGAGGCAGCATGTCTGGCCTTGTAGGAACAGACCTTGGGTTACTGCTAGTAATCCTGTCTTCCTCTTGTAGGGTTAGAGGAGGTTGGAACATGTGGCCTCTTTGCCCTTTTTGCAATCTCCTAATATATACATTCTTCTATTTTAAACACTATACTACTCTCAGTCCTAAAAATACAGACTTTTTTTCTTAATATCTATGTGTAGTAGAGACTGTCCATGTTTCAAAAAGGATTTTTACCAGAATTGGCCAATTAAAACTATAAAAAAGCCTAAAGGTGGTGCCAAAGGGGCAGGAAGGCACCATATTCTGACCTCCTCTAACCTCACAAGAGGAAGACAGAATAACCATCAGTAGCCCAAGGCCTATTCCTGCGAGGCCAGACATGCTGCCTCCCTCCAGCCCTTTCACCAACACTGACACTAACCATTCCTCCTGCAGCACCCACCACCTCTCTGCTGGGTTCAAGAATTCGCTGCCCACAGAACTCATACATTATGGGGTTTATTAGGGCAGCAACAGGCTACAGTTCAAGTTCAGAAATGCACTCAGTCTCTCACAGCTGGCTGTCTCACTTAGCAGCCAGCAGTCTTTCTCTCAGCAGCGCATGTCTCTTGCGTCTCTCTCTCAGAGAGTGCATTTCTCTCAGCAGCATGTCTTTCTCAGCCAGCAGTCAGAGAGTCTCCTTCTGCTTTTAGGTGGGCTCCTTTTAAGCCTGGCAGAGTGGCAAAACTAACCAATCCCAACATCAGAACTCTATACACCTGAGAGGCAGAGAACTTCCCAGAAGATTGCTTCCTGCCACTCCAAATAGAAATACCCCCAGAGTTGGATAACGTTAACAATCAGGAGCTACTCAGTTGCTCGTGGCAAATTCCAGCACAGAGTTTATAAAGACTTATGGCTATAAAAGCCACGCAATATAATTTACTACACCACAGGCCACGCCCTGGCTTTTCTAGCCATTATCCCTTTTATACTTCAAAAATTAATATCCCCTTCACCATCAGGTTAAGAATAACCACACTCATGAAAGCATGTAAGCCAGCCAATTCATGCCTTTATCTTCCCCATTTTGTTGTTGTTGTTATGTGCCATCGAGTTGGACCCGACTCACAGCCACCCCTC